AACCAGAAGGCTGGCAGTTCAAACCCACCAGCCACTCCTCGGAAGGAAGATGGGGCAATCTACTTCCGTAGTGATACTGCCTCGGAAACTCAAGGAGGGGTTGCTATGAGTCGGGTCAGACTCGATGGCACATAACAACAACAACAACAACATTTCTGTAGTGGTATTACTGACTTTCAACCACAAACATTTCATCTTGGAAGGACTTTAGCCTCTTTGAGTATAAGCTATCAGGTTAAAACTCTAAAGTTAGCATCAGGTTAAAGAAAGTTGTTGCTGTTATGTGCTGTCAAGTCGGCCCCGACCCTCCTTGGGTTTCCGAGGCAGTATCACTACCACAGTAGACTGCCCAACCTTCCAAGGAGTGGCTGGTGGGTTTGAACCCCCAGCCTTCTGGTTAGCCTTAGGCACTATGCTACCAGAGCTCCTTAAAGAAAGTTAGGGACAAGAAAACTCATACAGTCCTGTAAAAGTCCAAAGGAATCACATTACACTAATGTCAAAAGACAGCTGATAAACCATCCTAATTTGAAACTGAGGTATCCCCAAAGGCAATCTAGCCACTGAATGTAAATTTGTTGCATAACTGAGCTGTCAACAACATCACTTTACTGAATATGAGCAAATTAGGATTTTTAGATCTTCTAAAAGCAGAGATTTTAATTTCAAAATATTTTGTTTCCACCTTGATTGAGAAAAATGACTTTTAAGGGAAAACATAAAATCCAGCTGCAAAAGGCAGAAAAATACCCCACCAATCAGGACCTTCCTTATAACCCAAGGAGGGTTATGCATATTCTCTGTAGGTGATTATACCGAGTTACACTGCAGCTTCCCTTCGACCTTGGGAACCCTGCTTACTCTCAGAGTTACTGCAAAGTCTTCTGTTTCATTTATTATTAGTCTTTCGTATCTGCAATGCTGTAGCATTGGATAGAAATATCAACAGTGTGAGCTTGCAGCACCCAAACTGTAGAAATGCTTCCAAAAAACAAAGGGGGATGGGAGGGAAAAAAAAACAAACTATATCCAGGAGGAAAACAAAGTTAATGCCATTAAGACGGGAAATTTTAAAATTTTCCCTTTGAAGAATACATTTATTAATCAGCTCTGTGATACAGCACAAGAAATTCCCTCCTTTTTAATTTTAGAAAAGATTTTGAAGAAAAATTATTTCGTTGTTTGAAAAAGAAAATCACAACTCAGAATAATATACAATTTGCTAAACCTAGTCCAGTGGTTTTAAAATGGAGAAAAAGCTTTATAGGACTTCGTGTCCGGGAGAGAGAAATAATCTCGTAGCCCAGTGGGTTCACTTAGTTTCGTGTCATTTGTTTCATCTCCATTATGTAATGCTTTTCCCAGCTTTAGGACACTGTGTTCAAGCTACCGTTCAGGTATATCACAGAAATGCCATAAAATCAGTATCTGGTCATAACTTTCAAAACAGGTTAAAAGATGCCCTGCAGATGTGCGTATATACGCACAGGCTTAAAAAAAAAAATCTGCTGGTGTCATTACTTCTCCCCGGCTTCCTCTCCAGGTCCCTCCTCCCTCCTCCCCTAGCACCCCCAGCGACAAGATCTGCGGGCAGCTCCCAGCTCCACGCAGGGGAAGCACGTTTTGACTGCAATGCAAACCCTGTCCGGGTCTGAACCGAGGAAGCAGACTCGGCCCTGGCCTGCGGGTGTGAACGAGGGCTGCAGGGAGGGCTGCAGGGCGGCCAGCCGGGAGTGGGCAGGGGTGCTCGGTGAGGGCAGTCCGCAGAGCACGCGCACAATACAACCCAATGCACAACTTCCCCAGCTGCTCCTCCCGGCTCGCCGGGTTCCCTGAAAGGTGCAGCGTAGGCGTTCGCTCACCCGCGCTGGTTCGGTTCTCCGCTGACAATGACATCAGTCCTTCTCCTAGCTCTAGCTTCAATCTCTAGCCAGCCTGGGGCGAGCCGGGGCGCCGGGCGACGCAGGGAAATGCGGGTGCGAGTGCCAAGCGGCAGGAATTCCCCGACAACGAGAGGGAAGGGAGGGCGGCGAGCGGGGACCGTGACATGGACGCCCCCTCCTACCTCTGCCGCGGGCCGGACTGGCACTGCCTCCCCCACTTCCCAACCGCGGGGGATACCGGCCGCGAAGCCCCCGGGAGACAGCAATGCCTAGAGGGGTTGCAGTAGTGGCTGCCCACCCGCGCGTCCCTAGGGTCCTCCGCCCTCCAGACGCGCACAATACCCCCGGGCCGTGGCGCGGGCACCATGGTGTCCGCCCCGGCGTGCTCTCTGCAGCCAGGACACCTACCTGGGGGGCGAGCGGAGGCACCACAGATCCTGCTATCCGCAGCGACTGCAGGCAGCAAGCGGCCCCGGCGGGCAGGCGGGCGACAAGCGCGCGCTGGCCGGAAAGCAGAGGCACCGGCGCCTCCTGCGCCGAGCCGCCGTCTCCAGCACCGACAGCGGCGGCGGCAGTGCTGCGCCTCCAGTGGTCCGCGGCGCCGCAGCCCCTCCTCTCCCACGGGCGGGGTGCGCT